ATCAATGATCTTATTCTTGTCTTAGATTCGTTTATCACATATGGCAGTGTTAACAATATCTATCTATCAATGTTCTGATTCTAGTCTTAGATTCGTTCTCACAAATGGCAGCGTTAACAATATCTATCTATCAATGTTCTTATTTTTGCCTTAGATTCGTTCTCACAAATGGCCGTGTTAACAATATCTATCTATCAATGTTCTTATTATAGTCTTAGATTCGTTCTCACATATGGCAGTGTTAACAATATCTATCTATCAATGTTCTTATTCTTGTCTTAGATTCCCGTGTATCACATATGGCAGTGTTAATAATATATATCTATCAATGTCCTTATTCTTGTCTTAGATTCGTTTATCACATATGGCAGTGTTGACAATACCAATCTATCAATGATCTTTTTCTTGTCTTAGATTCGTTTATCACATATGGCAGTGTTAACAATATCTATCTATCAATGTTTTTATTCTTGTCTTAGATTCGTTCTCACATATGGCAGTGTTAACAATATATATCTATCAATGTTCCTATTCTTGTCTTAGATTCGTTTATCACATATGGCAGTGTTAACAATATCTATCTATCAATGTTCTTATTCTTGTCTTAGATTCCCGTGTATCACATATGGCAGTGTTAACAATATCTATCTATCAATGTTCTTATTCTTGTCTTAGATTTCCGTGTATCACATATGGCAGTGTTAACAATATCTATCTATCAATGTTCTTATTCTTGTCTTAGATTCTTTTATCACATATGGCAGTGTTGACAATATCAATCTATCAATGATCTTATTCTTGTCTTAGATTCGTTTTTCACATATGGCAGTGTTAACAATATCTATCTATCAATGTTCTTATTCTGGTCTTAGATTCGTTCTCACAAATGGCAGTGTTAACAATATCTATCTACCAGTGTTCTTATTCTTGTCTTAGATTCGTTCTCACATATGGCAGTGTTAACAATATATATCTATCAATGTCCTTATTCTTGTCTTCGATTCCCGTGTATCACATATGGCAGTGTTAACAATATCTATCTATCAATGTTCTTATTCTAGTCTTAGATTCGTACTCACAAATGGCAATGTTAACAATATCTATCTATCAATGTTCTCATTCTTGTCTTAGATTCGTTCTCACAAATGGTAGTGTTAACAATATCTATCTATCAATGTTCTTATTCTTGTCTTATATTCGTTCTCACATATGGCAGTGTTAACAATATCTATATGTCAATGTTCTTATTCTTGTCTTAGATTCGTGTATCACATATGGCAGTGTTAACAATATCTATCTATCAATGTTCTTATTCTTGTCTCTGATTCGTTCTCACAAATGGCAGTGTTAACAATATCTATCTATCAATGTTATTATTCTTGTCTTAGATTCGTTCTCACATATGGCAGTGTTAACAATATCTATCTATCAATGTTCTTATTCTAGTCTTAGATTCGTTCTCACAAATGGCAGTGTTAACAATATCTATCTATCAATGTTCTTATTCTTGTCTTAGATTCGTTATCACAAATGGCAGTGTTACTAATATCTATCTATCAATGTTCTTATTCTAGTCTTAGATTCTTTCTCACATATGACGGTTTTAACTATATCTATCTATCAATGTTCTTATTCTTGTCTTAGATTCGTTTATCACATATGGCGGTGTTAACAATATCTATCTATCAATCTTCTTATTCTTGTCTTAGATTCGTTTATCACATATGGCAGTGTTAAAAATATATATCTATCAATGTTCTTATTCTTGTCTTAGATTCGTTTTTCACATATGGCAGTGTTAACAATATCTATCTATCAATGTTCTTATTCTTGTCTTAAATTCGTGTATCACATATGGCAGTGTTAACAATATCTATCTATCAATGTTCTTATTCTTGTCTTAGATTCGTTCTCACATATGGCAGTGTTAACAATATCTATCTATCAATGTTCTTATTCTTGTCTTAGATTCGTTCTCACATATGGCAGTGTTAACAATATCTATCTATCAATGTTCTTATTCTTGTCTTAGATTCGTTCTCACATATGGCAGTGTTAACAATATCTATCTATCAATGTTCTTATTCTTGTCTTAGATTCGTTCTCACATATGGCAGTGTTAACAATATCTATCTATCAATGTTCTTATTCTTGTCTTAGATTCGTTCTCACATATGGCAGTGTTAACAATATCTATATATCAATGTTCTTATTCTTGTCTTAGATTCGTTTATTACATATGGCAGTGTTAACAATATCTATCTATCAATGTTCTTATTCTTGTCTTAAATTCGTGTATCACATATGGCAGTGTTAACAATATCTATCTATCAATGTTCTTATTCTTGTCTTAGATTCGTTCTCACATATGGCAGTGTTAACAATATCTATCTATCAATGTTCTTATTCTTGTCTTAGATTCGTTCTCACATATGGCAGTGTTAACAATATCTATCTATCAATGTTCTTATTCCTGTCTTAGATTCGTGTATCACATATGGCAGTTTTAACAATATATATCTATCAATGTTCTTATTCTTGTCTTAGATTCGTTTATCACATATGGCAGTGTTAACAATATCTATCTATCAATGTTCTTATTCTAGTCTTAGATTCGTTTATCACATATGGCAGTGTTGACAATATCTATATATCAATGTTCTTATTCTTGTCTTAGATTCGTTTATCACATATGGCAGTGTTAACAATATCTATCTATCAATGTTCTTATTCTAGTCTTAGATTCGTTTATCACATATGGCAGTGTTAGCAATATCTATCTATCAATGTTCTTATTCTTGTCTTAGATTCGTTTATCACATATGGCAGTGTTAACAATATCTATCTATCAATGTTCTTTCCTTTTATTGTGTATCTGCACACTTTATAAAATATAGTTTTCGGCGGCATTGAAAAAGGTTGTTGCCTTCGATATTATTTGTTTTTTAAATTTGTAACTCAGTTCATATATCATATTCTGCTCTTAACATTTACTGCTCCTAACATTTACTGCTCCTAACATTACAGCGACTCATTGGTCCTTTAATACTGGATGTACCGTTCTCTAATCTAATATGTGATGTACACAGTTACGTCAAGTCAAGGATTGTAATTTAATACGGGATGTACAACTTTCTGATCAAAACCACCCCACACTATCCACTTGCGTTTGTAATAGGTTTAGGTGTGAAGTAGAGCTTGTTACACTTTTTGTAAATTATCGTCTAAGGTAAAGGTTATGGTCTTAGAACGACTAATAGGTCTAGGTGTGATTTAGAGCTTGTCAAATTTTTTGTAAAGTATCGTCTAAGTTAAAGATTATGGTCTTAGAACGAGTTATAGGTCTTGGTGTGAAGTAGAGCTTGTCACACTTTTTGTATAGTATCGTCTAAGGTAAAGGTTGTGGTCTTAGAACGGCTAATAGGTCTAGGTGTGATTTAGAGCTTGTCAAACTTTTTGTAAAGTATCGTCTAAGGTAAAGGTTAAGGTCTTAGAACGATTTATAGGTCTTGGTGTGAAGTAGAGCTTGTCACACTTTTTGTATAGTATCGTCTAAGGTAAAGGTTATGGTCTTAGAACGACTAATAGGTCTAGGTGTGATTTAGAGCTTGTCAAACTTTTTGTAAAGTATCGTCTAAGGTAAAGGTTATGGTCTTAGAACGAGTTATAGGTCTTGGTGTGAAGTAGAGCTTGTCACACTTTTTGTAAAGTATCGTCTAAGGTAATGGTTATGGTCTTAGAACGAGTTATAGGTCGTGGTGTGAAGTAGAGCTTGTTACACTTTCTGTATAGTATCGTCTAAGGCAAAGGTTATGGTCTTATAACGAGTTATAGTTCTTGGTGTGAAGTAGAGCTTGTCACACTTTCTGTATAGTATCGTCTAAGGTAAAGGCTATGGTCTTATGACGATTTATATAGGTCTAGGTGTGATTTAGAGCTTGTCAAACTTTTTGTATTGTATCGTCTAAGGTAAAGATTATGGTCTTAGAACGAGTTGTAGGTCTTGGTGTGAAGTAGAGCTTGTCACACTTTTTGTATAGTATCGTCTAAGGTAGAGGTTATGGTCTTAGAACGACTTATAGGTCTAGGTGTGATTTAGAGCTTGTTAATCTTTTTGCATAGTATCGTCTAAGGTACAGGTTATGGTCTTAGAACGAGTTGTAGGTCTTGGTGTGAAGTAGAGCTTGTCACACTTTCTGTATAGTATCGTCTAAGGTAAGGGTTATGGTCTTAGAACAACTTATAGGTCTAGGTGTGATTTAGAGCTTGTTACACTTTTTGCATAGTATCGTCTAAGGTACAGGTTATGGTCTTAGAAAGAGTTAAAGGTCTAGGTGTGAAGTAGAGCTTGTTACACTTTTTGCATAGTATCGTCTAAGGTAAAGGTTATGGTCTTGGAACGACTTATAGGTCTAGGTGTGATTTAGAGCTTGTTACACTTTTTGCATAGTATCGTCTAAGGTAAAGATTGTGGTCTTAGAACGAGTTGTAGGTCTAGGTGTTAATGTAGTGCGTGTTACACTTTTTTGTATAGTATTGCCTAAGGTAAGGGTTATGGTCTTAGCACGAGTTGAAAAAATCCTTATGATGTTTTAAGGATTTTTCGATACTCATTGCCTGTTCTTGACTCTACAACTTTTAAAACGGAAATGTTTTACCAAAAATAGCAACGTTTCTTCAAAGTTCATAGATTAACATACAGTTCTGAATAATGGTGGAAAATATTTTAATTGAACGGTTCTTAATATCGCATCTTTGTTTGCTCGATCTGTGCTAAACATTGTTTTAGTTCATTGATATGTTTGATATTCTTGTTATAAGGCAGGCAGTTTGTAATGTGATAATTATTAGAATGTAATGTTTGTATAATATGTATAGTTGACATTGTAAATGTCTGTCGTATCATCCCATAGTTTTGACAGATGTAACATTATCAACTTACAACTTACTTGGTTAGGAATGTAAAGCATCTCTCTATATCTGGATGAAAAGGGAAAGGTAAATTACCCTACACAGAACGTTGGACACTTTTGGATCATTTAAATTTAGATAAAGGACATTAACCTCAATTAAAAATGAAATAGGGATTTAAGTGGTATTTAATCGGCGTATCAATCCACCTCGATCCAGTGTTTGATAAAGTCTTAGTACAATACACTATAATTATAGATAAAAGTAAAGATATATTCTCATGGTGTTTTGGCCTACAATTATCTATGTCATCCATTACATACCTGAGTAATTTAACCTTCAAATGGGATACAGCTTCATGTATCATATGTACATGTAGTATATTTTATAGCTTGATATAAAATATTCCACATATAGGTTGACGAGGTAGATTAGACCTCAGCGCGCACCAACAATTACCGCCGACTAATCCTAGAATAACCGTCTGGAATATAAAGTAAAAACAAAAATATTACATGTTTGATATTTTGAGGACTAATTTGAAAATTTGATTTAGGATTTCAATAACTGTAACTTTGGATTAAAATAACAGCGCACTCATCTTTGTGTAGCTTTGATTTACACAAAATTTCGTGGACATTATTACTGTGACATTATTTTAAAGGAAAGCATTCTTGGTAAAGTGGTATTATTTTTGTGTATTGTAAGTAAAAGCAGGATATTTAATAAGTACTTTTTAAGTAAATAGTAAGGTAAAGCGTTGAACGGAAATACAGTTTTCTATTTCAATACAATTATAGATGTAATGAAGTAATAACCGACCAAGTATATTTGTAACAAATTATTTCATATACTCAGGGACAAAATAATATTAGAAATGCCTAAACTTGGAATAATTGTTCTTGCAATTGGAATTGTGCTTACTTTATTTAATACTTCGCTTTGTGATAAACGTTTGAATAGACAGAAACGTTTTATTGAAATGGCCGATGATGTGAGAGGCCCTTACTGTGAGACAAAGCCCGGGGGTCCGTGTTGTCCCGGGAGGGATGACCAATGTACAGTACCGATATTAGACAGTATTTGTTATTGTGATATGTTTTGTAATATTACTGCCAGTGATTGTTGTCCAGATTTCCAGAGAATTTGTATAGGAGGAAATCCAGAGCCTATTACACGTAAGTTTGACCAACAGACTAATATTTGTTTTTGGTATGATAATTATAAAATTTGAATATTATCATTTATTTATTTTGGTTAATCATTCGTTTTTGAGCATATAAGCACTGCAACTTGCTCTATAACTGAGTCAGTGCATTCACCTCAAACATTACAATTTAATTAAGTCTTCATAATAAATCTGTCCAATGCTTCAGAGTTTTTCGTTTATAGGTCATTACAACCCAAAACACGAAATAAACGTAAACATTGTCATTTTATATATTATACTTTGATACTTAAGTTGACAAACAGTTTGATCTTTTGAACTTAGATTTAATTTGTTTGTATTTTCTAATCTGAAGTTAAATAAACGAGATAAAAGACCTAAGTGTAATGTCTTAATCTTAAAAACATTTTTGAATTCAGTAGTTTAGTTGTAACCCTTTCATTAATATTTGCCTTATTATAAATGGCTACAGTATTAATCTGGTATTTAAAATGCTTAATTAGATTGTAGATCGTGTCAACGGATGACCTTTGTTCAAATAATGTAAATTTTAATGTCCTCTGACCTACTCATTGACATTAAAATATATTTGTATTAAAAAAAAACCAACATTCTAGGAGACTTTAAAAGAGCAAATGAATGCAGGAACATACAAGCGATTCAAATTTAAAAAAAAAAGATTGTTGACATCAATTTCAAGTTAATCTGCTTTAATTTGTTTATGTTATATCGTGTATGTTTTCACCAAAGTATTTGGAGGAAGAGGGCTTACGTAGTTCTTTAGATTATATGCTTAGCCTTCTTTTTTTCTTATATACTTGAAATGGGGACGTTGTCTGATGTTATGTGTAAAGACGCAGAAAAACGCTCTCTGTATGTTAAAGATCTCGTGTAACAACTTTTCCGGCGTCCTCGTGTTGCATGTTGCAACAAGATTCAATCCCTATCAAAAATACATTAATTTTTTAGAGATTTTCTAAATTTCACGTCTGCCAACTTGGTCGATACACTTACAGAACCAAGCCGTTGAATTTATTAATAATTTGATCTAGTCCTGAATATGCATGAAATATTTTCAACTGAACGATAATCAAATAGCAATTACCGAATGTATGCTTTTCTAGCATCCGAGAGTATCATCAGCTCAAAAGTCGGTGCTTCGGTACTGACATGATTGATAACATTTTTTGCAATTATATTTTCCGTTGATGAAGTAAGAAATTATTATAAAAAACTAAAGTTCCAACTTCTTTAGGCAAAGTTGATCTTAGATGGTTTTTGGTTATTTGTTTATACTCCTTTTTGATCATATAGAGATCTTTACGTGTTTGGGTAGTTCTAAATCATTTGGCTTTCAAATGTTGGGGGTATTAGCATTCCTGATGAAGATAACTAGAGAGAAGAAGAGATAAGGCCGCAACAAATCTATATAGAGTTATTTCATTTTTTGTAATTGATTGGAGCGTATTGTCAAAGGTTAATATTAAACTTTGTTCTGGGATATGCTTGACATGTTCGAAATTTGAATTTGATATTCAGTCCTGAGTTGTTTTCGTATAATTTGTTCACAGCTTAAGTCTTGTTCGCCTTCCTCGATAGGTCAGTAGATATTTAATAGTTGTATAATTTACTTACATAAAAGTGTTATCATTTATCAGCGAAAAGTTCAGGTTTTGGCAATTAAATCAGAAAAAGACAAAATAGTACAGTGATTAATACTGCCATACAAAAGCAGTGATAAGGTATCAATTTGATGACAAACAATTTGACGCAATTAAGATTTCATTCTATCTTCTGAAAGTGTTACCGCATCTGGAAAATGTGAGATACTGACACGTTTCCTGTTTTATAAAAACTTATTGTTATTTTAAGAACAAAAGAAAAGATAAACAAATTATCCATTACATCTATGTAAAGCAGATGTATTCGTCTTTTATATTCGGGGCTAACGCCCCTCAGATATGAGAAGCCTTCATCTAATACATGTGGTTCTTGTTTAATATATCTGAATTCTGCAGAATCATGACACATAAATATGATCATTGTTGAAAACAGTGTGGTGTATCTATTTTTGGTATATTTATGTTGCCGAATAGCTGTCTCGGTTACATTAAACCTTCATCTAGTTTTATACAGGATGACAATTATTAAATGATCTTTTCAGAAAGTTGCACGTATTTGAGTAATATAACTATAATTCACCTAAGTAGTGAAACTTTAAGAGAATTAAATCCATATTAAGCACAAGTGTTAACTTTAACAGACTATAGTAGGTGTTAGAACAGGGATGTTGACAAAAAGGAAGACACTATTAAGAGTGTTATCTTTCAATGGATTTGGGTGTATTTTCCGAAGGGCTTTTAAGAAGTATTAAATAATGTCAAGTATGTGCGATAAATTGCAATTTCTTTATAATTGTTCTGGAATGAGACGAAGATAAAAATAAATACTCGATAATTATATGAATATTTTTAGCCTGCTCCAAATTCCTATCCAAAATGCCTCTTAGTCTAATGATACAATACTATCGTATTTCTTTCGAGTTTATTATGATTTGACCTAGAGTACCATGGTTTCTTGGGTCATATTTCATAGTTCTATATCCATCATTATATTATCTGGAGTTTTCATAAAGATGCTATCCGTGGCACTCGTCTTGTAAAACTAAAATAAGTTGTATTTAAACAATATCATTGTACAAATAGTAATTACGTCCGTTTCCTTTTGACCTGCAGTGCTGTTTTGTCTTGCAGTTGCCTTCTGTAACTGTAGGCACTTCTGACACAGTATTAATCATGAATAAAATGGAATGTTAAGTAAACATATGCATAACTTAGACAGTAACCCAACGTAGCAACAAACAAACACATCTACATACTTATGTATCTATACAAATATCAAAATCAGTATTGTACAGATCCTAGGAAAGTGGAAAATTTAACAGATTTGAATCTGCTATCAAAACTAAACCTTGAAGTAGATATCATTTTAAAGGCAACCATTGACAAGGTTCTGACTTGGGACAAGCATTTGGACAAGCGCTCGGACAAGCGTGTCTTTTGCTTCTTTGTGTCTTCGGGTTACTGTCTCATTAATTTATACTAAACACTTCTCTCACATGTAATCTTTTTTGTTTCTTAACTTGTTTCACTTTTTGTTACCCCGGCGGACCATTTTATAGCTTACGTTATAAGTTTTGCTCATTGTTGAAGGCCGTACGAAGACATGTAGTAGGTTATGACCCTTTCCTTTGGTGGATAGTTTACATAATCTTAAGTTGGCAATCCTATGTATGTTTTTGTTTTGACGTTTCTTGATGCGTAGCCTGATTATTTAAATGAATTAAAATTATTTAACGAAGCAATGACTTACAACGATTATCTATCCATGTTTTACTAGTTGTGTTCTCATTAGATTGATTCTTGATTGTATGTTTCTTATTCTGTTTTTATGATGGTATATATACCCTCGGAGTTGAGAGATAATAAGCAGAATAACCAAATGAACTGGCTTTCTTAACTTTGTATGCTTTATTGATGCACTTTTTCACGGGCATTCTCAGGAACAAAAAAAGCAGTTCATAATCGCTCACAATGAGAAACATCCAAGCATTATACGATACTTTTTGCCATTTTAGGTCAAACATTAAAAAACAGTATCATAAATATACTAACTATATTCCTGAGATAAGCGTAAGACTTTGGTCGGCCATATACCAGCAAAGATAAGCAGAAACAGATGTCAGTAATGACATATAAAATGGAATGTAGGACAGAAAGTCACAGGACAAAAAGTCACGGACAAAAAGTCACGGACGAAAAGTCACAGGACAAAAAGTCACAATTTAGTTTTGAGATTATTTTTCTCTGAACAAGAAAACACTAATTTTAAAAATTAATTTTTGATTCTTTATTGAACTATAATATATGAAGCAACTTTGTAATTAAAATTTATTCAATAAATATCAATGATGATCAAATAATTGTTATGATAACAAAATGTCAAAGTGGTTTGGCACTTAAATGGCTTCATGGTGCCAAGAAATATATTATTTGCATGATTAAAATTTAATAATTTTTCATTTATCAAGGCTTATGAACAATTTTCTGAACTTAAAAATGAATAAATGTAAAAAAAAGAAATGATTTGAAGATCTTTCTCTTATATATTCAAACAATTGTCAATAAATTATTTGTGACTTTTTGTCCTGTGACTTTTTGTCCTATCCAATTTGTGACTTTATGTCCTGTGACTTTTTGTCCTGTGACTTTCTGTCCGTTTACCATAAAATGGTTTTTTTTTTCTTACATATTTGATTGAAACCATGTCTTCTTTTGGTCAAAATTGTAAACCTTGTCAAGTTTATGACATCACAAATGATATCTAAATTATTCTTGCATATTTATAGAAGTTTTATGGAACAAGAATCAAGAAAACTAAAGATTTTTTAAGACTCGTAGTTCGGTACCGCTAATGTATAAACTGAATAAATACCACATTACTGCTTGTTGATTTAATTGCAAAATGGGGTTCGGCGTGCATAATCGTGCATTGAAAACATTTCTCTTGGTGACAAAATATTAGAAACAGAAAGTTACATATAGATACATTTTGTTACTTATTTTTCAGTGCCTACACAATAAAGTATGATATTGTATTGTCTATGGACAACTTTTCTAAATATTATCTGTATTCTGGTAAGGTAAACATTGGAACAAGAAAATTTAGACATATCCTAGTACCCTTTTGAAAATCAGCTATTCTAAGCAGGAATGTACTTATTTTGAACTTTAGCCATTACACGTACGTAACCTTCAGACAGTATTACCCGCAGGGTAGATTGGCTATCTCATAAAAGAAATATCACTTTACATTATTGTGTTGATGTGCCCTGTCTTTAGCCTGTCTTAACTATTCATCATCTCCACAATAATCAGTTTACCTGATGGGTATTATATTCTGTCAGTATACAAAAATATTGAAAAAGGAATTTAGTCGAAAAGACGGTCTCTTGCATACTAGTAGTTCGATTATGAACTAAACTAAACTAAGTTAATACTCATTAATCTTATTTCAATTCTTCAGTAAATACATGGCGATAAAACAATTTGTATAAAGATTCATGCATATCAATCTAAGTTTAATACTGATTATGTAAAGTAAACTGGTCAAACTATGGTTGAGTTTATATTATACATTAAAGATTATAGGAATATTATTCAACTACAAATCGAATAAATTTCTGTATGATAAATGTGAATCTTTGTTTCCGCTTAAAGATATAATACCTTCGAAAATATTATCTTAGTATTTAATTATCATATATCCTCTGAGTAAAACAATCCCATTAAAAGTATACTATAGTTCTTTTTGTTTGTTTTTTTATTGTAGCAAAAAAAAAAATCAGAAACAATGGGTCGATATGTTTATTAGTGACATATGCATGGCAATATTTTCTACCCATTCAAAAATGTCCTGTCCTTTATACTGGTAAACATATCTACCTCATTAATTTATGTTTTTTTAGTCTCAAAAATTTGCGCCTGGACGTTGAATGTACGTCATCAGGACAATATATTATCATCTGAGTTAGTACATAGTTTGTTTTTTTTCTTTCGGAATGGAGTTATATAGTAGTTTTACAAAAGGAAATGTGGGTTATAACAAAACGTCAATAGGACATTCATCACAACGACAAAAAAAAAGACTTGTATATTAACGGACAAACTACGATCTTCAACAATAGTCAAGTACATTAAACTGTCAACAGTTTGTCCAGCTGCTAATTGCCTCATGTCTGAAAAGTTGTTAATAACTAATTTACACAAAGACTATGACCATGGCCGAAACTACTTTACAAAGTATGGCCGAACTGGCAGTTTGGCCGAAACGTCTGTGGACGAAAGGACTGTGGCCGATATGGAAGGCGGTTGTAGAGTTAATGGTATAGAATGTTTTATTACAGGCGGTTGTAGAGTTAATGGTATAGAATGTTTTATTACAGGCGGTTGTAGAGTTAATGGTATAGAATGTTTTATTACAGGCGGTTGTAGAGTTAGGTATAGAATGTTTTATTACAGGCGGTTGTAGAGTTAATGGTATAGAATGTTTTATTACAGGCGGTTGTAGAGTTAATGGTATAGAACGTTTTATTACAGGCGGTTGTAGAGTTAATGGTATAGAATGTTTTATTACAGGCGGTTGTAGAGTTAATGGTATAGAATGTTTTATTACAGGCGGTTGTAGAGTTAATGGTATAGAATATAGAGTGGGTTCAGTGTTCAAAAACAATTGTAACCAGTGGTAAGATTACACCTTATACTTTATAATTTACACTATGAACTGTTTCAAATGACTTAAAAATAAGAAGATGTGGTATGATTGCCAATGAGGCAACTATCCACAAGAGACCAAATGACATAGAAGTTATCAACTATAGGTCACCGCACGCCCTTCAACAATGAACAAAACCAATACCGTATAATCAGCCCCGATATGACAAAATGTAAAGAAAATCCAAACGAAAAACGATTTATGACAAAACAATAAATAAAAAAACAAATATGACAGACACCCAACGACAGACAGCCGCGGGTGGGGAGCAAGAAGGTGAACTGTGGTTTATTTTTATCAATACTGACAATAGTACCGCTTAAGTCGACGCTAGGGGCCGTCTTGACTTTGTTGTAGGGTATGAATGATTCGTTCATTGTTGAAGACCCTACATCAACTGTCAAGATGAAGAACAGGAATAAAAGCCCTGTTCATTGATAATTTTCTATGTTTTCTATGTATTGTGTGCGATTTTGTCCCATGTACATTTACTCCATATCCTTTCATTTTCTTCTAAGCAACGACAATCACTGAATTAGATGCTCATGACTTGGAACATGCACATAATGATTGTTTGATTGATTGAATGGTTAGTGTTTAACGCCACTTTCAGCATATTTACAGTTTTTTAAGGCATACACGTTAACTTATAGCAAGTGGAGATCCAAAAATGACACTGAAAATAGTAATAAATCAAGAATTATTTCTTCTTAGATAATGATCAATATGAACTTCGCATGATAAAATTGAGTCTTCCTATATATAAGGCATTTTTAATTATCTATACGTTTTACATATGAATTTTTTTATCAATAAACGTTTAACTCTTTTAAGAAATATCGTCTTCTTCACATAAAACATTACCATATCATTTAAAGAAACTCCCTGACATATCAGCAAAGTAAATTCAGTCATGTCATCGACCAGGTGTCATGGGTTAGTTAAGGGTAATCATTTTAATATATGCTCCTTCTTATTTGAAATTTAATCTATATTAGATTTAATAATGTGAGAATGTCAGTCTTGTTTTTTAAATGACACCGAAATGTGTCAAAAAGTAAAGTTTTCGTATACAGATATTTAATCGTGAATTTTACAATATTTTCAACAATTTAATAATGCAGCTGATTTATTTGTCCAATAAAGTCTTTAATATTTGTATTAAATGATATAAATTGGTTACAGTACATGCCGCCGGAACCCTTCCAATCCAAACCAGGCGGAACTGAGATGTACTGACGATGTATGCTTAGTACAACCAGACATGATACAGCTTGTCAACAATGGAAACTATGGGTAGCTACAAGTACTTTCTTTTTGGTTGTATCCTGTAGTATGGTAAAATGCACCAACCTCTTTATTAGATGAGAGTCGCGGTGTAAAAAAATACGATACGGTACCTATATTTGGTGTAACAACATTTTTCTTCACTGGTTTGATATTGCTTCTCAAAAGTAAGCTATCAGCGTTGCTGTGCCTTGGTAGCTCAAAAATGTACTGAACATGAACTCGACTAACATATTGCAAAAAAGAACATTTCAATTTTGGGTTATATTCCTTATTAGTATGAACATATGCATGTTAATGATGCACATACCATTTTTGAGTAATCGATGTGACGAAAATACCCTCCGCCCCGCCATTCCCCCCCCCCCCCCCCCCAAAAAAAATAACAAAAAATCAGCAACAAACAACAAATGCTTGGTGTAAAAGGGGGGGGATTTTACTTTTCTGTGTAAATCTGTTTTATTATCATTATCAGTATCATTATTATTGTCGGTAAGCAACTCCGTGAATTAATCTTATCATTCGAAGAACAGTGTTTCAGATTTCGTAAAAATATCTTTAGAAATTAATTTTTAAATCACAGCGTACGTATGTGAAGTGACAATTTATGACTACATTTTCTTCGTTCGTGTTTTAACAAAGTTGTTAAAAAAGTTTTAAATCAAGTTTTGTTTCTCATAAAATCATAATGCACTAAAATCCCGAAAATTATTTTTCAATCAGTATGTTTTTGTTTTTTTTTTATGTTAAAACATTAATCATTTACTTGAAAAGTACTGGTATGTATTTAGACAGTTTTACTTTTAGGTGGAAAGCTGCAAATTATTCGTTTTTCTGGGGAAAGACTTTGAATGATGGTATAAAATACAGACTCGGAACCATGCCACCAAGTGACCAAGTTCTCAATATGAACCCTATAATAATGGACAGTGTTGATCAACCTCCACAATCCTTTGATTCCCGTCAAAAATGGCCGAATTATATACATCCTGTTAGAGATCAAGGAGACTGTGCTGCATCATGGGCGTTTTCTACAGCCGGTAAATTATAATAGCATTTATATTGAATGCTTTTATTTATTTTATTTTAAATGGGACGCAACATTACTATTGTGGTTTACTTGTGCTGTACTCCAGTTTCATTGAATTTCACCTGATCAATTCTTCCTTTTTTTACAAAATTTCTTTTCGATCAAATCTTTTATTGGAAGATTGATTGTTGACACTACCTCTTTGCTTTGCAAAACAACAAGAGTTAAGTTCTACAGACAATATTCCTTTTGCTAGTTTTAAGTATATGCCAGTATTCTCTAACACGGTTCTAAATGTAATAATTCATTTAACATGTGTAATATCGTTATAGTTGAACTAAGTTTCCTCCATGCAGATTTGGTGTGTTGTAATGTTATAATAATTGAACTAAGGTTCCTCCATGCAGGTTTGGTGTTTTGTAATGTTGTAATAATTTTCCTCCATGCAGGTTTGGTGTTTTGTAATGTTGTAATAATTTTCCTCCAAGCAGGTTTGGTGTTTTGTAATGTTGTAATAATTTTCCTCCATGCAGGTTTGGTGTTTTGTAATGTCGTTATAATTGAACTAAGTTTCCTCCATGCAGGTTTGGTGTTTTGTAATGTCGTTATAATTGAACTAAGTTTCCTCCGTGCAGGTTTGGTGTTTTGTTATGTCGTTATAATTGAACTAAATTTCTTCCATGCAGGTTTGGTGTTTTGTAATGTTGTAATAATTGAATTAAATTTCTTCCATGCAGGTTTGGTGTTTTGTAATGTTGTAATAATTGAACTAAGTTTCTTTCATGCAGGTTTGGTGTATTGCAATGATATAATAATTGAACTAAGTTTCTTCCATGCAGGTGTGTTGTTTTGTTGTCCTTTTTTTGTGGTGTTTTTCCTATGGCCGAATCAATATGATATATTCGTACTGTATAGATTAAGTGAGCTCTTATGTTCATGACATTAGTCAAAAGTAAGACATCTTTTAAATGAATGTCCTTCTTTTCACGTGTTTAAGAACTTTCTATTGATGTTTGATCTTCATCCTATGCTTTCTATTATTGTTTCTAGACTTCTGTTGTGGGCACTTGTCCAACAGTAGATGACCATAAATGGTAATAATATGTCTATTTTTGGTGAACATATGTTGATTCCTTTCTCCTTTTATCTACATTAGTTGTTAATCATTTGAATTTGATATGTACAACTACTCGACCCTTCTGTTTAAAACAACATGCTCGTTACAATGATTCTAGCTAGGTTTTTTTAACATAATTGTATAAATGTAATGTATAAACCTTTTGATATTTAAGTCTATTTGTTATTTCCTGTTCAATCATGCAAAATAATGAGTATAACTGATCGTCTGCTGACAATATAATTGTAATTGACCAATTGAAACAAACCCCCTTTTTCCTTATTCCGATTTCTTAATACGCATGAAAGTTTGAGAGTAGGAAGATGCACTTACCGAAAACACAGCATTTGTGTTAGTGTTATTTTCATTCATTTATATATTGGTAACATGACATAATTGATGGAGATGAACATATATTAGTAAGCTGATGAAATAAAGGAGACCTAATTATCAAACATATATGATTGTATATACACATATGTTGTAGTAATCATAAGACTCATTTCAAAAATTTAATAGCTTTTCTGTTACACAGCATGGAGAAGTTTTTCGTCAAATGCTTTAGATATTCACATACTTTACCAATTGGTGATCTACAATTAATGCGTCGGAATTGTTCGCTTCCCTCAATGTGAATTTGAAAGAGTTGTCTTCTTTTTTGTTTATTAAGATTAAGGATTCTTCTCAATTCGGCTAACTATTAAATGGTTCGATGCTAAAAATTGTTTCTAATATCATATTTTCTGCACATCAGCATTCATGGAAATAAAACAACCACATCTTGTTCATTAAAACAGAAGAATCCAGCGCATTTAAAGGGCATTAGCTGTCAAATTCATGTTCACTGATTTGACTCAAATTCTCATATTTGATTAATAACATACTTAAACGTATATCTAATTTTTTTCACCATTTAGAAATTCCCCTATTATTTCATATAAAAACAGTTTTAATACAAAAATCTACTGAAGATATTTCTTTTTAAAATAAATGATTTTTTCATTAAATAAAGAAATGTCCGCAGTTTCTTGTAAAATTTATGAAATATATTTATGATATATATTTTTAGAGGAATCACTGTTTAAAGACAATTATGAATTTCTGCGCGAAATTTCATGCATATGGCTGTATAGGAAAAAGTATACTTAATTTCAACATATAAAATAATAAAAATACTTTTAAATAACCAGAAAAAAACTGTACACATCTGTGTGTTTATCATTAAAAATTTCATCAAAATCGGACCACAAATTAGTTTTTGACAATGCTTTTAAAAATGTGTTTTTATATGAAATAATAGTGGAGTTTGTAACCTACAAAACCTAATTGCAACGACCGCAACAAATATGCTAACATTAACATTTATTTTAAGATCTTTTTGGTAAACTGGAGGGGGGCATGAAATATATATTAGATGAATATAAAAGTAGAAAAATCATATTTAGAAACGTAACGAAGGTTATATACACGTTTAATGCAATGTACTCTATTGTGGATAAAAGATTTGAGTCAGGAGAACTGAACATTTAATTGATACAGATGCATGCATGAGTCAAATTTTGCAAGATGTTTTGTGTAAGATTGGAAGTCATATAAAACTTGGAAGTTGTTACCTTTGTGGTAAAATATGAAAATAAGGAGATGATTGCTAATGAGACAACTATCCGCCAAAGTTCAAATAAAGTGGATGTAAGCAATTATAGGCCTGTTTGATTCCTATTCTAGCTGTTGCATCTGACCGCCTGGCAATTGAATCAGAAGGGGTCTTACCAGAGGAGTTATCTCCACAACATCTTATTTCCTGTAACGTAAAAGGACAGCTTGGTTGTGAGGGTGGATACCTCGATAAAGCTTGGTGGTTTTTACGAAAGAATGGGTATGTATAAAAGTATATTTAGATCTCCACAAGTCAGGTTTTTTTTTTTAATTTTGAACAAAATTATTTTTTTGCTCGTTATTTTTAACTACAAGTACACATTCTTCTATGAAATGATTTACCGTATTGTATTACTGTTACAAACATTTATCTTACCTTCTTAGCAGGTAGGAATTTTTTTAGCAACAAGGGTTTACTATTTTCCTAACATATATCGTACTAAGCTTTTGGTGGCTCTTTTTTTTTCGTGTGATTCATCGTGCTTAGCAATATTGCACATGCCCTAATCATATTGTTAATTTTTTGCTGTATGTTAAAGTCTGAATTAATTATATATTTAGAATAGTAACAGACAGTTGTTATCCATACGAAAGCGGTTCAACAAATAACGCTGGCTTTTGTAAAATGAGAAAGAGTAAAAACTATAGAAACGTAACCTGTCCAAATTCTGGAGAAGAACTGCTAGAAAAGATATTACACTCAACTCCGCCATATAGAATAAGAAGTAACGTAAGTTAGATAGAAACACACTCAACACCACCATATAAAATAAGAGGTAACGTATTTAGTAATACACTCTACAATATTTATCCACTCTTGACAGTTAAATTTAAAATATTTAAAACGCTCGGCGAGCCTCGCGTCATAAATTTGAAAATTTAACTGTCTCGAGTGGATAAATATTGTATCACACTCGATACATTGGTAGAATCTATATATATACAACCAACGCCATCATCTATTATTTCAAACCGTAACGTAAGAAGATATGACACTTTAAAACACTTCCACATAGAATTAGAAGTAACGTAAGTAACGTAGTGCTATGTCAGTGCTCTGAAATTATACTGGAGTATTTCCAAATTGTTAAACTACATTTTCCACTGCTATATCTTAAATTTTAAGATATTTTTCTTGATATGTTCATTGGTATTTTTTCTACCGGTAACAGTCTCGTCTGTCCTTTGCTTTGAAAAGCCAGTTTTTTTTTCAAACCTCTAAGTATTAGGGTAATTTGCGTTTACCGATGATGTATGCATTTGATGATGTCTAAGACATGCACCATTTCGTTTGTATATTACACATAACTATTTGAAATACTTCATAACCATTTGTTTAAAGAAGTAACACAAGCCCCCCATCCTCCCCCCAACCCCCCAACCCCCAGCCCCGGCTGTTAGTGGAGTTTTATTGTTACAAAGTCTTTAGTTTTCTTTGTAGTGTTTTGTGGACTGTTGTTTGTCTTTTTGACGTTTTTCTTGGAGCGATGATTTTGTGTGTTTTTCTTTGATTTTGTGTGTTTTTCTTTGAGCGATGATTTTGTGTGTTTTTCTTGGAGCGATGATTTTGTGTGTTTTTCTTGGAGCGATGATTTTGTGTGTTTTTCTTGGAGCGATGATTTTGTGTGTTTTTCTTGGAGCGATGATTTTGTGTGTTTTTCTTTGAGCGATGATTTTGTGTGTTTTTCTTTGAGCGATGATTTTGTGTGTATTTCTTTGAGCGATGATTTTGTGTGTATTTCTTTGAGCGATGATTTTGTGTGTTTTTCTTTGAGCGATGATTTTGTGTGTTTTTCTTGGAGCGATGATTTTGTGTGTTTTTCTTGGAGCGATGATTTTGTGTGTTTTTCTTGGAGCAATGATTTTGTGTGTTTTTCTTTGAGCGATGATTTTGTGTGTTTTTCTTTGAGCGATGATTTTGTGTGTTTTTCTTAGAGCGATGATTTTGTGTGTTTTTCTTTGAGCGATGATTTTGTGTGTTTTTCTTAGAGCGATGATTTTGTGTGTTTTTCTTGGAGCGATGATTTTGTGTGTATTTCTTCGACTTGTGGTATTTTAAGACCCAGTTGTATCTTCGCATTTTAATATGGTACAAGTATCAAACTATTCCTTTATACAAAAGCCGAGTAACAATTTACGAAACAAAACCAAAAAGACGTACAAGGTAATTACATTATACCACCAAATGTTAATGTCGAAAGTATTCCGATTAACATCATGATCACCACGAAACGATATGTGTTATAAAGTGTCGAAAATGTCTTCCATTTTCCATTATGAATCTTCTTCGCGAATAATCACTTACTTCTATTGTATTAATAACAAAATAATTAGAAATTATAATAATAATGTTGTTATCAAATCTGTTAATTAATCTACTAATAGCTTTCGTTATATTATATTTTTTTTTAGATACGTAGTTCTTTTCAGACATTATGAAAAAGTCATCTATGTAGTAACGTTAACAATAATGAAATGGACATTTAATAAATTAGATATCCGACTGTAACACAGAGTTCATTTGTCAATTTTAGGAAAGAGAAATTATGATGGAGATAATGAAAAATGGACCAGTACAAGGTCGGTATAATTGATATCTAACTAAATTATAAATGTCTGATAGCATTGCTAATTAATATCTTGAATATGTTAAACATTTGGATGAGAAAATAAAAAGAATGTCAATCGAATGTATGTGGGCAGAACTTTACGGTAAATATGTGCACAACAAAATGTCGCCGAATGGTGGAGGGAGTACCAAGTTGAACACTGTATATAATTCCTCTACAAAGGGGGTTTAAAGATAAGTTAGATTAAATTAGACAAAGTATTCATTAACTTTTATCGAAATAGACGGAAAACACGTCAAAAGGGCAACCTTCACAGGTGGTCAACAATGCTGAATTTCCTACGTTTGAGCATCTTAACCAAACACCACTGGAGTTCCTTAAAAGAAACAATAAAAGCACACGAGAAGCTACAAATACAACGGTTTTATGTAATATAAGAAAACAAATAATACGTTTTACAAATTACTGTCAAGTATTTTTACATGTATTATAAAAAACATCTATGTTACAGCCATTTTGAAAGTAAAAGAAGATTTCTTTATGTATAAGAGCGGAGTATATAGTTACAGTAGAATTCAACCAGACAACATGGCTCATGATGACAAAGGTTACCACTCTATAAGGATAATTGGGTATGTTGACAAAGATTGTCACTCTTTAATGATAATTGGGTACGTTGACATAGGTTACCACTCTATAAGGATAATTGGGTATGTTGACAAAGGTTACCACTCTATAAGGATAATTGGATATGTTGACATAGGTTACCACTCTATAAGGATAATTGGGTATGATGACAAAGGTTACCACTCTATAAGGATAATTGGGTATGTTGACAAAGGTTACCACTCTATAAGGATAATTGGGTATGATGACAAAGGTTACCACTCTATAAGGATAATTGGGTATGTTGACAAAGGTTACCACTCTATAAGGATAATTGGGTATGTTGACAAAGGTTACCACTCTATAAGGATAATTGGGTATGATGACAAAGGTTACCACTCTATAAGGATAATTGGGTATGTTGACATAGGTTACCACTCTTTAATGATAATTGGGTATGTTGACAAAGGTTACCACACTATAAGGATAATTGGGTATGTTGACAAAGGTTACCACACTATAAGGATAATTGGGTATGTTGACAAAGGTTACCATTCTATAAGGATAATTGGGTATGTTGACAAAGGTTACCATTCTATAAGGATAATTGGGTATGTTGACAAAGGTTACCACTCTATAAGGATAATTGGGTATGTTGACAAAGGTTACCACTCTATAAGGATAATTGGGTATGTTGACAAAGGTTACCACTCTATAAGGATAATTGGGTATGTTGACAAAGGTTACCACTCTATAAGGATAATTGGGTATGTTGACAAAGGTTACCACTCTATAAGGATAATTGGGTATGTTGACAAAGGTTACCATTCTATAAGGATAATTGGGTATGTTGACAAAGGTTACCACTCTATAAGGATAATTGGGTATGTTGACAAAGGTTACCATTCTATAAGGATAATTGGGTATGTTGACAAAGGGGAGATTAATATCTTCCAGATTTCAGTTTTGAATTGTATCTGTCTTCCCTTGAAAAAGCTGTTGTTTTCTTTTTCGTTCAGTGATTAATGGTTGTTTTTAAAAGCAAGTCTCAATGAAATTTGCCTCGTGGTAAAAGTTACACGATACGTTGTTTGTTTATCAAAGTTTGAATTTGACGATTAAAGAGTCTTGTTATACTTATCTTGTAGGTTTTGGTTTTGAACTCTTCAAACACATAAAATGAAATTATGAACAAAATAGGTTTTAAGCTTACATGTTCATACTCATTCTTTGTTTTTGTAGCTGGGGTGTTGAGCGACAGTCCAGTGGTGTAGAATTAAAGTACTGGGTAAGATTGTTGCTGTAAACTGATGCAACCTTTTATGGGTGTTTCGAAAAACACTGTTAAATTGGTATTTTGAGGTGTGCAAAGCACGTGACATTAAAAGTAAAGGCAAAGCCTGGTCGGCTCGAAATTGTAAAAATCACACAGAAATATGTCATATTGCGGATTTTTACTTTGCAAACTACTTTAACAAATAAATCCGCTCATTGTGTTGGTTTAATACAAACCAAGGGTTATTTTCATTTTAAATTTGCATATTCTTGCCCTGATTATAATTGATTAATTTTCCGCTAAACGTTAAAAAATTATCCATTCTTAAAATGGAGGTGGATGATATAAAAAGGACAGCCAAAATTCAATAACCGAAAACCGGTAAAACCTTGAAATAACTCAAGAAACCGACTGAAAGACAAACAACACCTACAAGAACTACAATATTTACACGTATACCTCGGACAATAAATAAACAAACACCGATGTCATCGATATAAAATAAAAACCGGACGTAATAGCAAGTGCAAAAAGGATACTGTTTATATCTATTCATTTTTGGTTGCTTAACGTCCAGCGGCAAATACGAATGAAAAAGAGGTTCCAACTGTATACATGAATAGCACTGACTTTATCTTTGACGTATACTAAATTTAATATCGTTGAATGTCATTGAGAAACAGAAAAGAGAAAGAAATTACTGTATTCCCTAAATAATTGTGATTTGAAGTTCTATATTACTTTATACTGGTATTCATTCAATTCCACTGCCAACTAAAAACGAAGAGTAAATACATAGGCCTTTTTTATTACAGCTTTGCTTTAAACATTCTTAGAAATATTAATTAGTTTTCTCCCTAAAGTCGTGCAAAACGAGAAAAAAGCAAACTGTACTTTCGGAGAAAACTATGTTCACTTGCTGTTTCTATATATATACATAATTATACAGTGTATTGTATGTTACTCTGAATATAATATTAATTGATATATCATGTATATATTTATTCTTATATAGCCACCGTTATATTATTTGTGTTGCCCTGATTTGCATGCTAATTTGTGCCTTCTGCTTACCAATGTAAAACTATGCGCATGCTTCCGTAGATCGCAAACCGGAATTTTTACCACTAGAAGATACAATGGCGGCAAATGAAAGGTAATGTATTCATTATTCCTACCTTTTTATATAATTGCTAGATACATTTTCTCGCTTATTTTTGTTGTCATGACAACTGTAAAGTATTTATTTTGCATGCTATAATTACTTACCCTTCATAGCTTTTTACTCAATCTCTTATATAATATTTATTTACTTATATCAAGCAATATCCCTTTAACCTGACGTATCATGATAAAATGTATATAGTTTCCTGTACGTTACTTTGCATTTTACAGCTTTGCTTGAACTCATGGGGAATGCAGTGGGGTGAAGATGGCTCGTTTAGGATTAGGAGAAATGTGAATGAAAGCAATGTAGAGGCTGTGATATTAGGGGCTGACATAACAGTGCGGCTTGTTAATACTGAACATCCGGGCATACTGAGGAGAGATGGGTTGTATAATGTATATAATAGAGAAAGAGGAAAGAAAAGACGAACAACCCCTAAACCCCTTGTCTAATTAGGGAACATTGAATAATGGCATGCTGTTCATAGAAAACAATAATGTGCTTAAACTTAATGCTTCAGCATTTAATCATCATTTTTCCACATCAAATTATCAATGTATCATAAAATATATTTTTCAAATGCTTATTTTCTATATTAACCTTATATACTATCAAAAACACTGCCGTTTCAGCTAGGAGTAAATTCGTGGGGTACGGAATGGGGAGAAGGTGGATACGTCAAGATAGGAAGAGGTATTGATGAGTGTAAGGTCGAATCGTGTATTGTATCATCCTGGGGAAGTGTTTCATCAGCAATGATAACGGAATACATAGAGACAATACAGAGAAACAGAGATCCTTAACAACATTTACAGACTGGTTCAATAAATTTCACTTAATATAGTATGATCAAATATATTTTTATAGATGTTTTGTTTAGTTTTGTCTTGTATATATTCACTCCATTTAACATATGAACAATAAATGTGGAGTATACGTCTAATGGACATCATTCTTTAGACGACACAAAAACTTACACACGTAAACAAAGATAAGCGAGGGTTCCTGGCTTTGATTAAGTATTTGTGACCTGTGGCGTTCCTGACTGCATAGTTATTTATAACATGTGACGGATTTATCTAGTTTTGCTAATAAATTAACAACCATTCTTAATATTCACATACCAATAATATCACATGCAGTGGCGGATCCAGAGGGGGGTTCCGGGGTTGGAACCCCCCTTTTTTTTTGGACGATCAATGCATTTGAATGGGGACGTATAGTTGGAACCCCCCTTTTTAAAATGGCTGGATCCGCCCCTGACATGGTCCATAGAAATACGAAAAGTTTTCAAGTCATTATAATAATAAATTGGTAGTAGAGATGAAAAAAAAGTGCACATAAAATAATACCAATTAATACCGTGTCAGACAATGCTCGAATTCTTTGAGAGCAATATCAAAGTTCACATTCTGTCGATTAAGAAAACTTCATTCCGAATAGATTTCGTATAGCAAGTTCGTGAACAGAGCAGAACAATACGAACTTACACATATACATAGATACACGCAAAGAAGTGAAGTGAACAATTTGGACCGATTCAAGTTTACTTTGTAGTAGTGTGATGCTAACAAGGGCCTAAATGGATTTCTAGTTGAGCTTAGAAAGTATTAGTATACAAAAAGTTGACCATCGTGCAAATATCATATGTTATGCATATAGCAAAAAAAAACAGGAGGTTGGAGTTCGCAATCTCATGAACCCGTCCTGGTTTTCTTACATGTACAACCGGGAACTACACGTGACAATTATTGAATTGAGTAGTGTCAAGCCTTGTATAATGGCGAAGTTAAGTAGTGACTATGACCCGTGTATATAGCAAATCCCCAAAACACCGTTTGGTGGTGCGCCTGACAGAGGCGGAACGTACAGATTAGGTAACAGGTAACATGCAATATACTGTTGGTATCGGTATCGGATTCGACCCGGAACTTGTTATTTTTTGCTAATATTAATCAGTATGCAGAAAATAAAAGGGCCTGGAATTCGTCGTTTGTATGTCATGTCGGCTAATAAATTGGACCTCGTTATTTTAGTAGTTTAGATAATAGTTGCAAATAAAATAAAAAGTCATTATATTATGACAATGCAAACGACAAAATTAACCAAAATACATACAAAAAGTTGATCATCGTGCAAATATCTCATGGCATGTTTATATCCAAAAAAACATGGGGTTGGAAATCGGAATCTCATTAACTCTGAGCGCAGCGAGACAAGGACAATCAATGCTTGCTGCGCATCATCACTATATGTGATATGCTGCAATATTGTCTGAAAAATATTTTATCTTTCTACACCTTTCTCATAACAAACCATAGTGTGGTAAGATGTGTTATTAAATTATAATTATAATTATACTGGTAGGTTAAGCCCAACAAAACTTTAGCCACGATTCCTATTAATATATACAAAATTCCACACATAAAGCCTTAGTTATCAAAAACGAAGTTCGAATAAAATGATAATTACAATGACTGATTGTAGCGTTACGTTACCTTTTATCCGTTTTGGTGCAATGTCAAAAATTTGTGCCCGTTTGAAATATCAGTGTTTTTTCCACTTTATCGTAAAGTAACATATGCTTTTAAAAACAATCTGCGAGTGTGTCCAGCGAACGAACTAATTAGATTTGCTGATTTACAACACGAATATTGTCGGAAAGTCCAGAGGCTAAATCTTTGGTACTAGCATAAACATACGGATTTGTTTTAACTGAAATGTGCTGTTATAAAATTTATGGTACCATTTGAAATTAGGGAATGTTTATCCCTCATGCATATTTCTGGTTACTTGATTGGCTTTGGCATTACTTTGGTCCTTTTCGCTTATATCTGCTCTTCAACGTTTGTATTAGGTTTATTGATTTTCAATAATCGCTGAAGAGACATCATATGTCGAATTGTGCTTCTGGTGCAATAAAATTGGAACCGTTTAATGTTAATTATGCGAATGAATGGGGACGACAAAATGCCAACGACAAAATTAACCATAATACATCTGTAGGTCAACATCCTGTCTATACACTATACCAACCTCGAGTCTATAATAGTCGAAAATAAAATTAAGAGTCATATATTATGACTTTCAGCGGTCTGTCAACAAGAAATTCTCTCATGTTACAGCGGTCTGTCAACAAGAAATTCTCTTATGTTAATCATTGTTTGATTACCACCCTGTTTTATTTGGTAGTCATGTCATGTGACTTTGATCTGAGAGAGTTTGTCAAAGACACCAGCGCCTAGTGTCATATTGTATTATTATACTTCACGTAAAAATGCAATATTTTGATTGGCTTATACGAGGGTGTTAATTTACTCTATTACCCTTCACGGAGACGCTTGATCAAGTGTGCGCTTTATTAAATACGGATGGTTGTTATGTACAAGACGTCATAGTTTATTACTTTGAATTTGAAATTTAATCGACAGTAATAACAGAACATTCAGTATAATAACTTAAATAACACATATCTGAGAGGGTGATAGAGCAGATTGTTACCCCTCGAAAAGACATTGTCAACCTTGGCTTCGCCTCAGTTGACAATGTTTTCTCGGGGTAACAATCTGCTCTATCACCCTCTCAGCTATGTGTTATTTATATACTGTCCTTGTATGTTTATGACGATGATGACGGATGGCTGTTAAAAGTTCAGTGGCAAGTTAAATCCATATTCAGGACTAGAACATGTTAATGTGGTATGAATATGAACCCGAGTTTGTACTAGACCGACTAGTTGAACCGGATTTTCAACGGATTTAAAATAACTACTAGTGCATTTTCATACTTGGTATGCTAACTCTTTTTGTACATATTATTCCCCAATAAAAAGAAATATAAAAGGTAGGAGAAATTTTTATAACATCTAATATTTATTAACCAAACAAATTACGTATAACAAAATTAATTTGATCATCGTTCCTTTGTAAGTCACTAGCGTAAAATATAAATATAAATGATAAAAAAAATATAATAAGCTTTATTTGCGAATTGGAGTCGGCATGGTTTACAAAACAATGCTCTATTGAGCTTTTTAACCGACACCCGAGTATACCACTTATAGAGAATGATTAATCCACAGTCAAACTTTCATAATTCGATCAGTAACCGTAGAAGTTGTTTATTCCATTTAAATCACTTTTAAGTCATGTTTTTCTTTTTCAAATGTCAGATGGTCTGAACGTCCCTGTTAGTGTTTTATTTGCATAATATAGGCAGTAAATCTTAATTATAAACAATAATAACAGCAAATAAATCTAAGAATTATGATATCAACACTATATCCCACAGCAATACAAATATTACCCTGAAAGACAATACATTATCCCGCAGCAATACAATTATAACCCTGAAAGACAATACATCATCCCGCAGCAATACAAATATAATCCTGAAAGACAATACATTATCCCGCAGCAATATAAATATAACCCTGAAAGACGAAAACCAATTCAATATTTATTAATATTTCATATTTAACCTTTATTTCAATGAACTTGATACTCGACAAAGTAAAATATTTGTAAAATCAAAATTCAGACTTCAAAGGCTATAATTTGTCTTCCGACGAAACCAATACCTGAGAGGAAGTCTCAACTGTTCCGTGTAGCTTTATTTCTATAATCAATTATATCTTCAAATCATTATCATGCTATCTTGTCATTGCTAGAGAAGGTTTGTCACAAAACATTCCATAAGTACAATGATACGTCCGGTTAAAAAACATTCCAGGATTGCTATTTCATTCGAAGGTTTAATGATACTACTAGTATCTGCTACAAACAAAACGGCCAAGATCTCGAGTACATATTGCACACTGCAATAAAACTTCCCAAGATATCTAGTACCGTCTTTCTTTTTTCTTCGAATATGACCTACCGAACAAGACCTATCATTTGGTTGGTACTTAGATGAGCAACACAACGAGATCTGCTTAACCTCCTGGGGCACCTGAGATCACCCCCGGTTTTTGTTTGGGTTCATGTTGTTCAGTCTTTGTTTTTATATGTTGTGTTTTGTATACTGTTGTTAGTCTTTTCGTTGTTTTTCGTTTTTTGCCATGTTATTATCAGTTAGTTTTCGACTTATGAGTTCGAATGTTCCTTTGGTATTGTTGGCCTTTCTTTTATAGTAACAGTACAAAGTCTTACATATCCAAACATGTATATAAAGTTAGTACGGTCCAGGGGCGGATTTAGGCGGGGGCGTGGCGGGCGTGCGCCCCCCCCCTAAAATTTGCTAAGCATGGGTTGTCCTCAGCATAATAAAGAATACTTCGATAATTTTACCTCAAAAAAATTTAAGTTTGCATTATTTTTAGTCTAGAGTCGTTTATTTTAATTCTTCATTACAATATTTGGTAGAATGTTCAAAGCATATTTTAAAAAAATTTAAAAAAGCATTTTTCGATAGAGCTTATCAACATGGAATATTGAAACCTGTGATTTCTGGTGAATTCACACCGTGGAATATTAGTGAAGAAAACGAGAACGTTGTCACTTTATTTTTGCTAGCAGTATTTGGAATTTTGATAAATAATAAAAGTCATGAATGCTGAAGAGAGAAATCAATAAAACAAATTCACTTTTTTAATATTGAAGTATGATATTGATTTCAGTACGCATGATACATGTTTCTGTATAGAAATTCTCCGGCTAAACTTGAACCTTTAGAAAAAACAAGAATAAGATCAACTTTTTACATTGGATTGTTGCATTGGTTAATTTCAGTATTCTATATTTAACAAACAAAACCATATAAGGGTATGTGGCATGATTGCCAATGAGAGAACTATCCACCCGAGTTCAAATGAAGTAAATGTAAGCAATTGCAGGCCACTGTGAAGCCTTCAACAATGAGAAAAACCCATACCGTTTAGTCATGTATAGTTGAAATTATTACTAAATATTGACATGTAAATATTTCTTTCTAATTGAAGCTTTAACTTATTACATGAATACGTATTTTGTAAGTTTTAAGCGATATGAAAGCAAGTGACGAAGAAAATTGTTACATGAAGTGCGCAAGGGCATCTTCCTTAAATATGTGTTACATTATTGGATTCCTTGTTGATTAAAGCATTCCGGAATTTCAATCATCAATACAGCATTTGATGATGATAATATCCTTCAAAATAGATATCCACTTTCCTAGCAATATGAAAGTGTGTAATGCGTAAGTAACAGCGCCACGTGATAAATGTTTTACCCCACAATCCAATGCAAATTAAAGTAAAATAAAGACATTATTCTGTAAATAAAAATAAAGACACAATTCTGTATATTCTGTAAATAAAAATAAATACATTATTCTGTAAATATAATATAGAAGGCATGCTTTCGTGCATTATAAGTTTAATTATGTGTTTTGTACAAATTTTATTCTCAGGTATGTGCTAACTCATGGGGTCCTTCATGGGGTGAAAATGGATATTTTAAAATAAGCAGACAACAAAATGACACGAAAATAGAATCATTTGTGCTTGCTGTATGGGGAAACCTATGGAGATTAAAGGCAGATAACATTTATGAAATCCGGAAGTTAGTTGCTCAAAGAAAGAAATTGAGACTATTGAAAGAATTTCAAAATGACAGTGGTACCGTGCGACATTATAACGGAAAGTTGAGAAGATTAGAAAATGTTTTAAAAATAGAAAAAGAGAAAGGATTGCTCAAAGTCTGACATGTTATTTTTACCTCATTTTTATGAAATGATATTTTTTTCTTGTTATGTTAATAAATGTTTTAATTATGTATCATTGTTATATTGTAACTCATTGTCGCTCATATATCTGCAAGTGCACACTCAAGGTTCCATACTGTTTGGATCGCTAACATAACAATCATCAACGTAATTTTACCTTACATGACAAAGTTGTCGTCCAGATCGACTTAAGTTTGAACTGTACAAGGTTTAAAGAAATAAAGTTTTTTTTCTATAGTAACTTCGAGTATGGTCTATATTATTTGAAGTCCTACTTTGGTAATCATAACTAAATAGAACCAATTTTGTTTTGCATTTTTGACAACAGATGACACAAAAGTGAATCAGAAAAAGCCTATAGTAAAATTGAGAATGGAAATGGGGAATATGTCAAAGAGACAACAACCCGGCCAAAGAGCAGATAACAGCCGAAGGCCACCAATGGGTCTTCAGCTGGCCCCTTAATAAAAATGTGTACTAGTTCAGTGATAACGGTCGTCATACTAAACTCCGATACATATAAATGAACTAAAATTAAAAAACATACAAGACTAACAAAGGCCAGAGGCTCCTGACTTGGAACAGGCGCAAAAATGCGGCGGGGTTAAACATGTTTTGTGAGATCTCAACCCTCCCCCTATACCTATAGCGATTGTAGATTAAAGAAACACACAGCGATACGCACAGTAAAACTCAGTTTAAAAGAAGTCCGAGTCCGATGTCAGAATAGGTAACAAAAGAAATTAAGCAAAATGATAATGATACATAAATTAACAAAGGACTACTAGCAGTTACTGACATGCCAGCTCCAGACCTCAATTAAACTGATTGAAAGATTATGTCTTCATCATATGAATATCAAGTACAATCCCTCCCGTTAGGGGTTTAGTATCATACCATCATAAAATATATGAGAAGAACATAACCCGTATCATGCCAACAACTGGCTTTAGAATAAATGTGTTTATTTCCGATGCAAAGACCCTATGAGTGAATCAATATTAATACCAAAATATGCAATCCTTAATGACTTGACTACAATATCGTAACTATATCCCTTCCGAATAAGTCTGTTTAAAGGTTTGGTTAGCTTTTGAGGTGAATGCCGACATTTTTGTGCTTTGTAAAGAATATCACCATAAAAGATTGGATGTGAAATACCTGAACGTATAAGATGTCTGCATGTTGATTTATATTTACGAATGATGTCCTTGTACCGATGATAAAATTTAGTAAATGTTTTGACTAGTTTGTGATATCGAAAACCCTGGTGTAATAATTTCTCAGTAATACAGAGATTTCTTTCGTTAAAATCAAATACGTTGTTACATACACGAGCGAATCGAGTGTTTATTATAATCAAAAAGTATAAAGTTTATTATAAATTTAAAAGCTTCTTCCCCCAACTAATCATACAACTCTTTCACCCATTTACCATTTGCCAATCTCTCGTGATATCTCTGATTTTTGTATTAGGAACATATCGTTTGTGTTTGTTAAACGTGTTTAAAACATTGATCATCCTATGGGAACCAATAGTGCTCCAGTTCTCACAGTTCGTTTCTATGTTTGTGTGGGGAAGCAATCTACCTTTATTCATGTTCATATTTTGACTTCTAAAGTAGAATGAAAACAGCTAATATTGTCCGTTAACCTTGAACATGTACGCATATTTGATGTCCTCTTGCTCGGATGACGGATTGATAAAAGTTTTTTCAAGCTTGTTTCCGAATCCAATATTTGACTGCTATTTAAAATTGTACTATTATATTGTTATAATTTTTCAATAATAAATACTGTTTAAACAATACCTTTATTAAGTTATCTATAAATATTATTAGTGTTGATTTGTTGACTTTCGTTTAATTTTAAACTGTGAAAACTCGTGATACTTCTTTGAAACTAATGTTTTAATTTACTCTTTTGTGCTTTCAAATGACTTTCTCCACCCCAAAGTTCTCTAAATAACTTCCTTTCTATAGCATGTGAGTCTTCAAGAGATAAGTTACTAGCAGCAACAACCATTGATTTTAAATTCCGAATGACTTTTGTGTCTCCTTCACAGTAATTGTGTAACCAAGATTTTGTCAGATCAAGGACATTTTCCGAATGTGGTAATATTTGACTTGCTAGACCTAATCTCTCACACTCCTTGGCATCCATTGTTCTAGCAGAGGCCAATATGTCCAAAGCTTTCAAAGTGCCAAACTTTCTGACTAGTCTTGTACCAGCACCAAAACCAGTTATGACGCCCATTTTCTTTTGTACAAATGCAAATCTAGCTTTATCAGACATAACCATAAAATCACAAGACATTGCCATTTCTGCTCCTCCGCCCAACGCATTGCCTTCAACCAGTGCAACGCTAATGAGTGGTAATTGAGAAAGATTTTGCATACATTGTCCTACGAAACATGACATACTGTATCCCTGTTCAGGAGACAGAATACTTTTAACAGTGTCAAGATCTCCGCCAGAGCAAAATGTTTTGTTTTCTCCTCTCAGAATGAGACCCTTTCCTGTCTGCCATGATTGCAGTTCATTGATAATGTCATTTAGTTCGCACATCATAGAACCTGCAAACAATATAAAATATATCATTATACATATTTATACATTTAAACAACTGTCATCATAAACTCACTGTGTAATTTATGTAGGTTTTCAATCAACTGAAGGCTAAAACTAAAACTGTAAAACAACAAATTAGTGTTCAGAATAGAAAAAAAAATTCAGACAGCCTTAAAACCATAATCTAAGAAAGGCAGACAACACAGTGACTAAAAAAAACAAACTAACATTAGTCTACAAATACTGAAAAGTAAAAACGGACATAACAAACCCAACTAAAAGCGGTCACATCTCACAACAATATGAAGATATAAACAGATCAAAGCGGAATTGCACGGACAGTGAAAATTATACCTTTATATATCAACCCAGTATAAATAAAAGTTATATTAACATGAAATAGCGTGCCATTAAAATAAGTTACGAAAAGCACTTAACCTATAAATTATTCTACAACTACACAAGTACAACAAACATTAATACCTAATACAGTACCAAAGAATAGTTGAAGTCATTAGTATAAAGGTACGCTCAAAGGACTTCAATTACTGATATAATATCAAACATTTCTACATTCTAATATTGGTCGCTGTACATTTGCACTAAGTTTCATACAGAAACGTCAAAACATCCAAAGAAAAATACGATTTTGTGCGTTGCCATTAATAAACATTTGATTTTGAGGACGTCGCATGTGCTACATGTGGTAAATATTGAAAAAATAAACAAAAGTCCCAGACAGGTATGGATAAATGGAAGCAAGTCATTTCGTACCTTGACCATTTCGTACCACTGCCATTTCGTACATAAATTTGCCATTTCGTACCCAACATTTACCATTTCGTACCCACGATAAAATCCATTTCGTACCCTATGGGGCAAATGCAACTACCATTTCGTACCTAATGGACTAAATACATGTTCGTATCATATATTTGTAAAAGTTATCATGTTTTTAATGCTTTTTTAGAAAATAAAATAAATTAAATTTTATAAAGACCAATGATTGGTTTGATTAACAGCACTTGGAATAGTTTTAATTACACTTTTTTTGTTTGCAAGATTTGTCCTTAATTAATTTTTCAACTATAAAAATATGAGGTTAATTAACCAACAAAGAAATAATTATCTGCAACTGTTGTTATAATAGTTGTTAACAGCAGTGAAAAGGGACACAAGCTGATTTTTACCCAAAAAGGAAGCCATGAAAAAAGTGTTTGCATAAGAATTTGCATCTTATGTGACCAATCAAAGAACTTGCTATGACTTTTTCAATTTGATAACTTTTTCTGAAGATGGTTTTCTATAAAAAGTGCAAGCCAAAACGGCAACTATGCAAAAACAAACATGACAGGCGACACGTGCCTAAGTTGTAATAGTACAATTCGTCCAAGACAAGAAGCACTACAATGTGATAGCTGTTTACAATGGCAGCATCGTCTATGTTGGACAGGTAGGGATTGCTATACATACAAACCTTCCATGAGGTACGAAATGGCATTATATAAATCTTCCATGAGGTAGAAAATGGTATACATAAAAATCTTCTATGAGGTACGAAATGGTATACATATAAATCTTCCATGAGGTACGAAAGGGTTAACATACAAATCTTCCATATGTTAATATTCCATGAGGTACGAAATGGTCAAGGTACGAAATGGTCATGGTACGAAATGGTTTTTGCCAGGGTACGAAATGGGGGGTACGAAATGGTTAGAGTACGAAATGACTATAATTCTGATAAATCCTGTGAAACATTGGAAATCAATTCCATGTCTGTATTCTGAAAGAATCATTTATTAACTTTAGGGACCGGTCAAAATTTCTTGATGCATGGGACCGGTGCAAACTGTAATGGGACAAGCACTTTTTGCAGTGTTTACAGGAATGGGACTCAATGTTTTTTCATTATTGGCAAGCATGGGACATGAACTTTTTGAAACAATGTCTGTATATGAAAAAAAAATTATTTGATAAATCTATAACAAACAAAAATAACATCATGAACATCTAGCAATGTGAATTTAACAGTTACAACATACTAAATTCATTTTCAAGATATAGGGACCGGTCAATATTTATTGGGGGGTTGGGACCGGTGCAAAACGCAGTAGGACACACCTTTTTTTAACTTAATTTTTGATAGGACTTCTACTTTTTTTAGTTTTCAGCACTGATAGGACAGCAATATTGTTATGGCATATGTATGAATGTAGAAAATAGTCTATACAAATTTAAATACAACAAAATTAACAAGATTAATTGAGGAACAAACAAGTAACATATGGTGTAAATCAGTCCATCTAACTAAATTAAATATAGATCTATCAAAATTCAAGATTTTTTTTGGTAGTTTGGTTCATTGCTGTGAAATTAAAGAATTAAATTAATAGGTAAAAAAAATTTGATGAAATTCAGATAGTCATCTTTAATTATTTTTATAACTTTTTCAAATCAACTTGGATTTTCATCAAACTATACAGCTATCTTAGTTATATATTGATCTTACTGAATCCCAGGTCGTTATGTAGTTTGGTGTATTGCTGTCAAATTTAAGGATTAAATTAATCTAGGTAAAAACAGATAGAATTTGCATTTTGGACTAAATTCAGATAGTACACTTTAATGTTTTTTATAACTTTTTCAAATCAACTTAGATTTTCATCAAACTATAGAGCTATCTCAGTTATATACTGATCTTACTGAATCCCAGGTAGTTATGTAGTTTCGGGTATTGCTGTCAAATTTAATGATTAAATTAATCTAGGTAAAAAAAATCTAGAATTTGCAGTTTGGACTCAATTCAGATAGTACACTTTAATTTGTTTTATAACTTTTTCAAATCAACTTGGATTTTCATCAAACTATACAGCATTTTCAGTTATATATTGATCTTACTGAATCCCAGGTCGTTATGTAGTTTGTTGTATTGCTGTCAAATTTAAGGATTAAATTAATCTAGGTAAAAACAGATAGAATTTGCATTTTGGACTAAATTCAGATAGTCATCTTTAATGTTTTTTATAACTTTTTCAAATCAACTTGGATTTTCATCAAACTATACAGCTATCTCAGTTATATACTGATCTTACTGAATCCCAGGTCGTTATGTAGTTTGGGGTATTGCTGTCAAATTTAAGGATTAAATTAATCTAGTTCAAAAAAGCTAGAATTTGCAGTTCAGACTAAATTTGGATAGTTAACTTTGAATTATTTTATAACTATTTCAAAGCAACTTGAATTTTCATCCAAATCTACAGCTATCTTCATTATATTTTTATCTTACAAAAAACCAGGTTATTTGGTAATTTGGTTTATTGCTGTCAAATTTAAATATTTAAATTATAGGTTTCTATCTGAATTTTGTCAAAACTAAAAATTTTAGCCTTTTTTTACCTATTAACTAAGTCCTTAAATTTGACACAATACACCAAAACACAAAACAACCTGGTATTTTGTAAGATAAATATATAATAAAGATAGCTGAAAAGTTTGATGAAAATCCAAGCTGATTTGAAAAAGTTATAAAATTTTAAAAATGACACCTTTGTTTTGTTAAAACAAGAATTTAATATAATCATGATAATAGAACTTTCATAACAATCCTTGATAACCTTTTAAAAAAGGAAATGGGTTCCAAAGTTACAGTAAAAATTTATTTTAATCAAATTTAAATAAATTTTTGTCAGATTTAAAGACATGGCATACAAGAGGCACTTTAATAAGGTTAAATTACATCAGTACATGTGTGTTTTACAGGTAAAAAGAAAGCCCTACTTTTCTTAAACTCGTGTATTACTTATCGAATGTAGGACAGAAAGTCACAGGACAAAAAGTCACAGACAAAAAGTCACAGGACAAAAAGTCACAGACAAAAAGCCACAGGACAAAAAGTCACAATTATTTTTCTTTAACAAGAAAACACTTATTTAAAAAAAAAAAACATTTTTGTACTTTTCTTGAACTTTAGTATATAAAGCAACTTTGTAAACAAAATTTATATAAAAAAAGTATTTATAATGATCAAATAATTATGAAAACAAAATGTCAAAGTGGGTTGGTACTTAAACGGCTTCATGCTGCCAAGAAATATATCTTTTGCATGATTAAAATTTAATAAATCTTTATTTATCAAGTCTAATGAACAATTTCCTCAACCGTAAAATAAATATATGTAATAAAAAGTAAATATTTAAAGATCTTTCTCTAAAATATTCAAACAAGTGTATACATATTATTTGTGACTTTTTGTCCTATCAAATTTGTGACTTTTTGTCCTATCAAATTTGTGACTTTTTGTCCTGTGACTTTCTGTTCGTTTACCTACTTATCTAGTGAATTCAAAAGGCCTTGCGATTTAAGTTTAACAGGATGTTGCAATTTTGAATGAATGTTATTTAGAATTTAATACTCTCTGGTAGGTGTGATCTTTTTGCCCCAAGCAGGAGGTATTGCTTTATACTTCACCACTTTAATCAGAATGACAATTTTAATAATTTCTTTAATGTTTGATCCCTTTTTGATATATTCATATAATATATATCAACATGTCGAGACTATAGTCAAGTAAAATGTGAGCACAAGATCTGGTCTTTTTAGACTCTGAGCAGTTTGTAGTGTAGATAATGAACAAATCCAAAGTGATGAAGAAGATGACCTTGTAATAAGAGCCTATGACAGTTCTGACAGTGATAATGACAATGATGATAATAATACTAAATGATGAATACAGTAGTAATAGTAGTAGTAGTGGCAGTGAAAGTGAAAGTGAAATTGAAAAGGAATCTTATTTGCCTTCTTCAAGGAGGAGATCATTTAAAATTCCAGACAAATTCAAAGATTACTATATGTGATCTATGTTAATCTGATAAAAATGAAGTTAAATATAAAAAAGAAAATGTGGTATGATTGCCAATGAGACAACTCTCCACAAGAGACCAAATGACACAGAATTTAACAACTATAGTCTGTTTGATTTATTCATAGATTAGATAGGACATATACTTATTTAGTAGATATATCATATAGGACAGAAACTTTTTTTGGTTTATTCAGAGGGTAGGACATAGATTTTTTTAAGGGAGAAATATGAATTGCACCGGTCCCAACCCCCCAATAAATATTGACCAGTCCCTTAAAGAACAGTGAAGGCAACAAAAAAAAACTTTGGAACAGAATAAACATGAAAAAATACTTTGATATAAAATTTAAAAAATATGTAAAAATTTGATTAGATATTTTACATGTATAACTGTTTAACAAATGTAAAAAAAACGAATTCATGGATAGTGTTTCTGCACAAAAAAGCATGATTGTCAAATATAATTCTGTCCTCCCATAAAACAGAATTTACCTACCCACTGTTAATTTAGAATAGTCAGATTCTAAATTAAGCTGCAATTTTTTTGAAAAAAATGTATTCTACCATACACTTCATACATGTTAATTGTTTAATATTGCATGTATCATTTATTAGTCAATAACATATTGTCATCTGTTTGGGCTCCTGTGTTGGCAATAAAATATGCTTATGTATTGTTTTGTTTACTTTATAACAGCAATATAGATACAGTTCACACATAGTAGCATTATTTTTCAGCTATCCAAATACATTGTAGCATGAAATGTAGCCACAACTTTGATCATGTTTTTTGTGCTTTAACATGGGACACACACTTTTTTACTAGGTAAAGTGCATGGGACAAGCATATTTTTATTCTGCCAGTAACCATGGGATCAAGAGAATTATTTCAGACAATTTTCTTTTTGCACCGGTCCCATGCATCAAGAAATTTTGACCGGTCCCTTACAGCATGAAATGAGGTTCTTGTCTTTTTAATTACCTGATAGTGCATTCTTTTTCTTCTTGTTGTCAAGAGAAACAACAGCTATTCCATTTCTCTCATCTTTGTCCAGTGTAACACTCCCACCGATCATGTGTTTAAGTGTATCTTCAAAGTCAACTTTGTTCACCTTTGTGCAATTCCGCCTGCTTAAACCTAAAAACCTAAGACATTGATGATATAAATCTATGATATAAGTTTCATAAAATTCTGGCAATAATTGTACACATGAGAACGCTGACAATGAAATTTTCCATATAATCAGTATTTCCAAGGGGCCTAACTTTTTTAAAAATAATTGATCGGCATTGAATTTTGAACTCGTCCAAGACATTGTTGAAGGCCGTATAGTTGCTTATATTGTCCCCCACGCAACACATTGATGGGGACATAGAACTACCGAGCGTCCGTCCGTCGTGTCTTGTTCTATGTTCTTTGATAGTCAAACGGTTGTCCCCTTAAAAACAAAAATACATCTACAAGAACATATGTCGAAACTTCTCAAACCCACTACTGTTTTTCAACTGTTTCAGTTAATGTATTTCATTAGAAAACATACATAGGAGTTTTAGAATGACAGACCAGGAATCTGCTCAAAAAACTTTGGGTTGATCAGGGTCACAAAGATGGCTATACGCCATAGCATGAAAGCAATTGCTTTAATAATTGATCGGCACTGATTTTCAAACTCGTCTTAGACATTCTTATATAAACCTATGATATAAGTTTCATAAAAAATCTGGCAAGAATTGTACAAATGAGAGCGCTAACGATGCAATTTTCCATATGATTAATGTTTCCAAGGGGCATAACTCTTTTGAAAATAAATGATTGGCAATGACTTTCGAACTTGTCCAAGACATTGCTGATATAAACCTATGATATAAGTTTCATAAAAATCTGGCATGAATTGTACACGTGAGAGCGCTAACAAGACAGGACGGACTGACGCTCGGTAGTTCTATGTCCACAGCAACGCGTTGCGTGGGGGACAATGATAAGCAACCATACGGCCTTCAACAATGAGAGAAACCCATACCGTATAGTCGGCTATAAAAGGCCCCGACATGAAAAATATGAAACAATTCAATTGAGAAAACTATCGGCCTAATTATAACAAAACAATTAACGAAAAACAAATATGACAGATATGAACCAACGACAACCACTGAACTGCAGGCTCCTGACTTGGGACAGGCAAATAAAGAATGTGGCGGGGTTAAACATGTTTGTGAGCGCTCAACCCTCCCCCTAACCTGGGACAGTGGTGAGCACAACATAAGAACAAACTATAATAAATTGCTTCGCCGAGCGCAGCTGGATACGACCGCAGAGGTCCAACCCTGAACAGTTGGGGCAAAAATGGACACAATATTCGCGCTTGATACAGGTCTGAATTTGGATTGTTATTAAATATTTGACACATAATAGGTTTCTAACACAGAATAACTGTAGTCAAAGAACTTAGAATTGGTTATATGATTTGAATTTATATTCAATTTTTTGCTTTTGTGCAATACACTATGCTGTTAAAAAAGAAATTTTAACACCCCCCCCCCCCCCCCCCCCCCATCCCCCCCCCCCCTTTTAAAAAAAAATATTTGAAGAAATTTTCTTTTTAATTGTCCCCCCTCACAATTTCTTTTTACCCCCCCATTTTTTTTCACCCCCCCCCCTTTCCAATAAAAATGTGGATAGTGTCCACATGGTCACAGATGATGCCCCCGCTTGCATATCATATAGTTAAAAAGGGACATAACTGAAGAACGGTAAAAGTGACGCTACCCAAATTTGAACTTGATCTTAGTTTTGTGGTTATAAGCATTGTGTGTAAGTCTCATAACATTTGGTTGAGGCTAACTTAAGTAGAGAACAGAAACTAAAAATTCTGCAATTTTTCTATTTGTAAACACGCATAACTCTAGAACGGTTGTGTATAAGTTTTATAACGTTTGGTTGAGACAAACTAAAGTTAGAGAACGGAAACGAAAAATTCAGCAATTTTTATGTTTATAAAGAGACATAACTCAAGAATGGTAAAAGTGTCGCCACCAAATTTCGTAATTAATCTGTATTATGTAGTAATAAGCATTGTGTATAAGTTTCATAACATTTGGTTGAGGCAAACTAAAGTTAGAAAACGGAAACAAAAAATTTGTACTTGATCTTAGTTTTGTGGTAATGAATATTGTGTTAAGGTTTCATGATGTTTGGTTGGGGCAAACTTAAGTTACAGAATGGAAACTAAAAATTTTGCAATCTTTCGATTTATAAAGGGGCATAACTCAATAATGGTTAAAGTGACACAACCCAAATTCAACTTGATCTGTGTTTTATCAATGGAAGTCAAAATTAAACATTGCATTGTATAAAGCATTGATTATAGTTGATTCAACTATAATCATGGACAAAGGTAGATAACTCCAATTTTAAAAATTACTTAATATTTAGAAGAAAATAATAATTTTGCAATTTTTCCATTTATAAAGGGGCATAACTCAAGAACGGTTTAAGTGACGCCACCAAAATTCAATCTTGATCTGTGTTTTGTGGTAATAAGCATTGTGTATAAGTTTCATAACATTTGGTTGAGGCAAACTTAAGTTAGAGAATGGAAACTAAATATTTTGCAATTTTTTCATTTATAAAGAGACATAACTCTAGAACGGTTAAAAGTGACGCCACCAAAACTCAAACTTGATCTGTGTTTTGTGGTAATAAGCATTATGTATAAGTTTCATAACATTTGGTTGAGGCAAACTCAAGATAGAGAACGGAAACCAATTTTGGGACGTACGTACAGACGGACAAGGGTAAAACTTAATGCATAAAAATTCTTTCCCTCAAGATATGGTCATTGTCTCAATTCAAATTTCCAATGGAGTTTGCAACCATAATTACCCATTTAAATACATCATAAAAGTCTTAAAATAGACAATGACATACATAATCATGGCTAAAATTAATATATTAAATATTCCTTAATCAGCATTTTAAATAGTAACTTCTAAAAATAAATTGACAGCTAATCACCTCAATACAATACAACATTTCTTTATACATAATTTAAAAGCAGTGTGAGGGAGGTAATCCAAACTTAACATTGTACTTTTTTTTAATTGTCCATTAACCATTAAACCCTTGTTTTCCCCCCTTTTTCCCCCCTAATTCCTAAATGGTTTGAACCATAACCCCCCAAAGCCAATCCTAACCATCCCTTTGTGGTATGAAAACTAGTAGTATAATTTCAGAGAGATCCATACACCGTTCCACAAGTTATTGTCTGGAAACTAGAAAAATGCTTATTTGGGCCCCTTTTTGGCCCCTAATTCCTAAACTGTTAGTACTATAACCCCCAAAATCAATCCCAACCTTCCTTTTGTGGTGATAAACCTTGTGTTTAAATTTCATAGATTTCTATTTACATTTACTAAAGTTATTGTCTAGAAACCAAATGTCTTCGGACGACGGTGACGACGACGACGACGACGACGACGACGACGACGGTGTGATACCAATTTACGACCGCAAAATTATTAAGATCAGTTGAAAAAGGCTTAACTCATCAGATCGATACAAAGCAGAAAAAACATCAAACATAAACACAGACCGGATGTGACAGGGTATTTATCCATCCCACATCCCTAACAACAAAAAGGACACTAAGTACAGGTCTGAGAGTACTCGCAGTTACTGACAGCTAGTTCAAAGTCAATAACAACTAATGAAAAAAATGTTTATCATAGTTGTCTAGATAATGACATAGATCTCTACACCGTCTTATCATAAAGTTAAATTAAGATGAAAATGTCATGCATAACGAATTGTAAACAAACCTGTAAGATGGACCAATCTTCGGGAACTTCTGACAAACTGGAAATACAAGCATGCCATCGACTGAAATTAAAACAAAGTCCTACAGCATTTCAAATATATATATATTTCTGGTTGCTTACACAATATTCGGTTAAACAGGACATGATAACTCTTTCAAGCACATGATTGTAAGATCATATTTAAAGACTACCGTTCATCATCATTATTTATTAAATGTATAAATTAAATGTAACTTGGAAAGAAAGGCTTTAAAATAAGTTGTATGCAGATATTTGTGCGTGTCTAATGATTTTATAAAATAAGTATTTCTCTTGTGCTTCATTTATAAAATGTAAAAGAAGAAATGAGGATTATTAAAAATCATCATAAAACATCCATCATACTCTTGACAAAACCCCAAAGCAAAGGAACATCACTGCTATTTCTATTCCACAAGTCACAACAGACGATTATAGCATAAACTCAAAGTAAGTAAGAGAGGCCTACCACCAGTTAGAGGAAACTAGTTTGCTGAATCTCGATGCAGTTACTACATCTGTACATTGAAACACATAGATATGGAAAATCAACAAATAACAAATTGCCATTATTATTTTGGCATACCAGAAGGTCATGTTTTTCTTGTACTGTTTATGACGTCTTTATACTAAATCCGTTTGGTGTGCACTGATTGATAGTAATTCGTCTTGGAAAACATGGTTATTTATTAGCTGAAATTGGCCTTGAACTAGCTTTCAGTAACTGTGAGTACTCTTAGATCTGTATTTTGTGTCCATTGTCTTTATGTTTGTATTAAAATAGCTTTCAGTAACTGCAAGTACTCTTAAATCTGTACATTGTGTCCATTGTGTTTATGTTTGTATTGAAATAGCTTTCAGTAACTGCAAGTACTCTTAGATCTGTACTTTGTGTCCATTATCTTTATGTTTGTATTGAAATAGCTTTCAGTAACTGTGAGTACTCTTAGATCTGTATATTGTGTCCCTTTATGTTTGTATTGAAATAGCTTTCAGTAACTGCAAGTACTCTTAAATCTGTACTTTGTGTCCATTGTCTTTATGTTTGTATTGAAATAGCTTTCAGTAACTGCAAGTACTCTTAGATCTGTACTTTGTGTCTTTTGTCTTTTTGTTAATGTTGTCTGCCAATGGAACCGATGGTGTCACCAGCTAAGTAGCCAAAGGTTCTATATTGGCAGGACGGATATAAGTTATATGAAATTTGTTGTTTATTAATTTTGGAAATTGATTTAAACTTCCGCGCTTCATACAAAATGTACTTCGGTCAACGCTTTTACACCCTAATGAAGTTACAAAAAGAAGCATTCAATTCTTAAAACAAACATTCCATACCATAATACAGACTTCAGGATTAAAATGATGCACCCCGCGGAAAAATAAGCATTTCTTATCTGTGCATGGTACCTGTTTAGTCTATTTATTAAACCAACTAATAAAAATAATAGTAGTCCCATGACAAACAAGAAAGCCGTTTTTTATGAAAAGAATTTAAAAAAAACAGTTTAATTTTTCATATAATATTTATTTGAGCGTTAATCAATTTTTTTTTAACTAATGACGATTTAAGTCAAAGTGGTATCCTGTAATTTCATCTCTCACTTCAGTTACTTTGCCAGGCGTAGATGCTAAAATATTAATTATAACTCCTTTCCTAAAGTATCCATTACTAAAATCAGCTGTGCCTTTATTCTTCGCGGGATTCGGACAGTACAGCACATCTTCCTTTAAACCATCGGCAAATTATTTTTAGAGGGAGAGTGTTTCCCTGTGTTTTTGTTTGTAAAAATTTGAAATCTGTGAGCACCGTGTTAAATATTTGTTTTTGGTTTACATCATGCAATTAAAAGGAAAACATATAAATGGTGTTCAAATCTATGCCGGTTCTGCCGACGTTAGCGCCGGCGACGACGACGTAATTATGGCGTTATTTAATTGTGACGCTATATGTTACTCTTTTCCCCGGAAAATTACGCAATTTCAAGATCTGCCATAGATTTGGAGAAAACAAAAAACTGCCATAGATTTGATTTGTAACGTCATATTTGCCATAGATTAGGAATCTGCCATACATTTGGAACCCACCAAAGATTTGAGTCCTACATATATACTCTAGCACCATCTGGGATCCTGCGACTGAGGACAACATAAACAAATTGGAAGCTATACAACGCCGATGCGCACGATTTGTATTAAATGATTATAGAACTAGCAGCGTAACATCAATGCTACAGACGCTAAATATAGTCTTTACATTCTATAGAGTAGTACACGCACTGTTTGTCATACCATCTACAAATTTACAGCCAGTAACATCAACAGTAAGAGGACACAAAGAACGATTCCTTATTCCTTTTGCCAGGACTCAAGTTTATCGTAACTCTTTTCCACAGACACCATCAGAATCTGGAATAGACTGCCACAACAACTAGTAAGTTGCACAACCCGGCTTGAATCGTTTAAAAGGGTGTGCAAGAGGTCCAGCTTCGATCGATGTCCAACCTTGTTTTTAACGTTATTTCAAAGTTCACTGTAAATAATTCGTACATGACCGCATATGTGTTGTTCTCACATCAAACATGTACATAAAACAGTACGATAATACTCCCATTGGAGGACTGTACTATAAAGGAAGAAGAAGAAGAACTGGCTGTACTCTGTTTCATTTGGAAATAGAAACTTTAGAGGACTTTCATGTTCCTCAGGTCCCCAGCTTCAAACGGAAAAAGGCAAAAAAATATCCCAGAGCTGAAAAAACTCATCATGTAATCTGTAGGATACAACAAATGGAATGAAATATACAAAGAGATTAATTATCCAAATAATTATAGACTGCACAACACTGGCTCAAGAAATTAACTTTGGTCCTGAGACAGCTATTCAAATCGAAAACCCCCGAGTAGAGATCTCTGCTGTGAACTCCATACTCAGAGAATCCTGAAGAATACACCTATATAAAGTGATGTTCACCCAATGGACACAAAGTCTTCTATTTTTAATTTTAATTGTACTAATTTTAATACTAGAATTACTTATAAGATGAGGGTAAAAAATGTTATTCAATATCAAAATACTTGAACACGATGATGATACTACCAGGAATATATTCGCAGATTTATTTTTTTTACAATTTAGTAAAACATAGTCCCTTACTACTTTTTCTTTTAAAATATATTTCAACATTTAAAATATAGGGTCTTAACATTTTTACTACCGTGTGACACGGGTAGTGCTCCGTTACGGAGGGATTTACAAGAAAAGAAGTCTGACAACACCATGAACACTGTTACAATAGATATTCAAACGTCTTTTTAATCACATCTACATTAGTTTAAAATTTTCTGATGCAGGTGTTTTTTAAATACCTTCCCAACGACAGATACTCACATTTTTTTTTTCAGTTTATCGTTCATCAACATGAAAATGAAAATGAAAGTAGACTGTTTTCGATATAACTGAATTTTGTATGTGCAAAGCATGAATATGTATAATAATAAACAAGGAACCAGTACTTAAATAACACATCGTTATACCGGTGTGGGCAACGAAAACCCGCAATTTTAATATGAAAATGGTAAAAGATAGATCGTGGTGATGGCCTACTGATATTCCCTGTGAAAAAGGTCACCATCCTAACAATGTAACCATAGCATATTCAATATGAACAGCAATAAAAGCGTTATTCTTTTCCTTTTTCAATGTACGTGTCGTCATGTTGTGTCCTAAATTAATTCAACAGTTTCTTTTTTCGTTATCATGGTTATCCGGCATATTCTTTAATTAACAACAAGGAAGCGTCATCGTGGTAACACACAATCCATTCATCATTTGAGGGAGTCATTTTTTTTTTATTTATAAAGATTATTGAGAGAGAAAAAAAAAGAATTCAGTAGGATCCAGAATCTTCCTTGTCACTGAGTGACAAAGTGGAATTCCAATTCAATTCTGCTAATAAAACTTGGAACTTATTAATTAAAATCCACTATAGCTACTAAGTTGTAATTCTAATATCTACTAGAAGAAATTGAGATTTTCAGTTTTGTAATAGGAGAATCCGCGATGGATAGTAATAAAACAGAAACTTAAACATAGAACAAGATTTTAATTTACTAATAACCTTTCTCAATAAGACACATTTTTTTTACAATTTATCCCTTCCACTAGCTGTTTCACGGCTAAATTCACAATTATCCAACTTTGGTATTAACACAGTGTTAGTGAGGTTGACATTCAGCATTAGTCAATTATTTGAGGAAACAAAACCGTAGATATAAGAATTCGCCGTTTGTTTGGAGGATAACGTCCATAAATATTTTCTCTAAGATGGTATTTAACACATTAAGAAAATATAGTTACGATAATCTTGTCGATCTACGTTTACTCCGCATCGGTGGTCTTATTATAGCATGCCTGCCTCAAGAGTAGCAGATTCGTAAAGGTTCTATATCCGGTATGTTCAAACTAACGGTATTTGCTGCTTCTTCGCCAAAAAACATAATAACTAAAAGTGAGAGCAATGATTTGGCCGAATGGAATCCAAATAAAGTGTCTGAGTAGGGGAACATAATTATTTCGTGTGAACTGTTTCTTTGTGTGTTTCACGGTCAAATCAAACCCAGGATGTTAGCTGAGAACAAAGCTATTATGTATATGGTATTTGCTTACAATACGTTATCGTCCTGAATATATATAAAATATTTGCCACTAGAACAACCATACATCTATCAATCCAATTTCTGCCCATAGTTCACAGAGATTTCACATTTTCAAGCATGTAGAAAATTAGAAACTTTGGAGATGAATGTTATATATCGTTTTTGTCAACAATTTTGCAGGAAAATGTGATAACTCTTCGTTGTTTGTGTTATTACTCAATACATCAGACAATTCCGTTATAAATAGAAATTCAAGAAAATTTACGTTAGAAGTACAAATATAGCATTGCTTCCGTTTTCCTAATTATCGAATAAGAGTACAAATAAATGAAAAATAAATCCAGCATAACAAAGAGTCAACTTAACTCTCTGCAGTTTTTAA